GGGGGGGCCACCCTAAAACATGGGGAACCCCCCCAAAAACCAGGAAGGCTCCCCAAAATATGGGGGAACACCTCAAAAACAGGGGGAGAACCCCCAAAACCGGGAGGAACCCCAAAATATGGGGGGCACTGCAAAACACGGGGAAACCCCCAAAAACCGAGGGGGAGGCCACTCCAAAAACCAGGGAACCCCAAAAAAATTGGGGAACCCCCCCCAAAAAACCCTAAAGGAACCCTAAAAACCGGTGGGGACCCCAAAAACTGGGGGGAACCCCAAAACATGGGGGAACCCTAAAAAAAACGGGGACCCCCCCCAAAGCCCTCCCCCCCCCCCCGCTGCTGCTGCACAGAGACTTTGGGGGGTGGGGAGGGGTCCCCGCCCCATTTTTGGGGGGTTTCACCCTTTTTTGGGGGTCCCTTTGCTGTTTTGGGAGGTTCCATTCCCATTTTGGGCGGTTCCATTCCTATTTTAGGGGGGTCCCACCCCTTTTTGGAAGGTTCCATTCCTATTTTAGGGGGGTCCCACCCCTTTTTGGAAGGTTCCATTCCCATTTTGGGGGGTCCCACCCCTTTTTGGGAGGTTCCGTTCCCAATAAGGGGAGGTCCCACCCCTTTTTGGGAGATTCCATTCCCATTTTGGGGGGATTTCACCCTTTTTGGGAGGTTCCATCCCCATTTTGGGGGGTCCCCCCCCTTTTTGGGCGGTTCCATTCCCATTTAGGGTGGTCCTGTCCATATTTAGGGGGGTTCCATTCCTATTTAGGGCCTCTCATCCCTATTTTGGGGGCCCCACCCCTTTTTGGGAGGTTCCATTCCTATGTAGGGGAGATTTCACCCTTTTTGGGCGGTTCCATTCCCATTTTGTGGGGTTCCACCCCTTTTTGGGAGGTTCCATTCCTATTTGGGGGGGTGCCATTCCTATTTTGGGGGGCCTCCCTCTATTTTGGGGGTCTCATCCCTATTTTGGGGGGTCCCACCTCTCTTTAGGGTCCTATCTGTATTTTGGGGGGGTCCCATCCATTTTTGGGGTCTCCCACCCCTCTTTAGAGTGGTCCCACCCATTTTTTGGGGGTCTCATTCAGGTGGGTCCCTTCTCTAGGGGGATCCCCCTTTTTTGGGGGGGTCCCCTCTTTTTTAGGGGGTCCCACCCCTCTTTTGGGGGGGTTCCCTCTTTTTTTGGGGGGGTCCCGCTCCTCTTTTTGGGGTCCCACCCCTATTTTGGGGGGAATCCCACACTCTGAGGGGGTCACCCCTCTTTTGGGGGGTCCCGCCCCTCACTTTCGGGGGGCTCTCCCCTCTTTGAGGGACCCCCTTTTTAGGGGATCCCCCTTTTCTCGGGGGGGTTTTTAGGG